TTTTCTCTTTGTCTTTTCTCTGTTGTTTGATTAACATAAATGACAGAGAGAGCAGCAGGTACTGTATATTAGACTGTGGTCACTTTAAGACCTAATGCACAAATTCAAACTAATTAAACATCGGATTTCTTTCTCATCTATTTATGTCAACTACAATTCCGTCAGCTATCCAGAGCATCTTTCACGCTATCGGGCAGTCCTTATTGTTGAGCCCTATTTCCAATAAATTGGTTTGAAAGGTTGTTTACTCTTTTTGCTTAGGAATCAAATAGGAATCAGTTGTCTGTTTTCTTTCCAAAGTGTGACCTGTAGAAATTTGGTTTACATCACACACTGAAAGAAAATCTTCCCCACAGACGCCTTTCATAGTGAGAGATTATCCCAATTTCAGCTTTTCAGTGAAGTGCATGGCCTGTGGAATGAGGATTTGTCCGGTCTGTGAACACTGAGTTAGTGCATCCATATTTAGTTTAAAATTGAACCTTTGATGTTTTGACTGGACCCTCCATTACGTTGAAATGTCACATCTTTTATTGAACTAGGTCAGTAAATGTTTGTTAAAGGAGGTAATGGAGGATAATAGAGGTTTAATGAAAGAAGATGATTGACTGACTGGTTCATGGCCCATTTTCATGGCCATTATTTAAAACTTTTCACACACACTGACTGATATCGGATGTGCTGTAGAAGAATATATTCATGCCAACAAGCTAGTCTTGGGTCATTCTATTACATACACAAATAAGCAACACTGTGGGTGCAAGTCTTGAGCATTATACACGGTTTAATCAGAGGGAGTGTTTTCAAATAGTGAATACTTGCCCTTTAATTCTGAAACAGGAGTCTTGCTATGTCTCATGATATTCCTTAAAGAATTGTGATCACTGAATAAGAAGAAATAATATTAGAAGAAGCAGTAAGAAGCAGATTTACATTTGAAGAATTTTGTCATTATTCATTCACTGATTATGATTTTGAAATTCAATGTCTGTTACTTGTTGTAATACATTAGCCACCTATTTAATTTAATTGCATCTCAGCTGTAAGCTGATTCCAAATTGCTGTTGCTATTGATATTCCTGTCCAATAATGTCTCTCTGTCTTGTACCATTCACAAGCATTACTGGTTTTGGAATAGTGTGGTTAAGATCCGCAGGCTATGTTGTAGGATGTATTAATAGTAAGTTCATGCGTCTGCTGAGATTTGGAATAAAATATCTGGTTCATAGATACTCTTGAGATGGCAGTAAAGATACATAGAGTAAAGCATAGATTAGAACAGCTGTACACAATACATTTTCAACATTGACAATGATAACAAATGTTTCTTGAGAATCAAATCAGCATATTAGAAAGATTTCTGAAGAATCATGTGACACTGAAGACTAATGGATGCAATGGAAATTTTAATTTGTAGTAAGTCATATTTCACTTTGAGCATAAGAGATTTCTTTCAAAAGCATTTTAAAAAATCTTACCCACACCAACACCTTGGTCTAAACGTGTATTACAGACTCAAAGCATTGGAATATTAGTGTATGTCTGCAGCTTCCTGTGCATTATTTGTATTGTGACTGTGAGTAAGGAGAAATTGTCACAAGGTATCAGTAGTTTTGAGTCAAAGGTCCAAATACACGAATGCCTTTTTCTCTAGCAGTGGTTTTGTATATTAGTCTCTTAAATAGTTTTTTTTTGTGAATTATTGGAGCATATTGCTTTCCTTAAACAATCCCTTGCAAGCCTGAACTCGTTCATTGTACCAGAATAGTCTACAGAAGGTCATAACTCTGTGAGCTTGGGTTTCTGTGTTGACACACAGAGAAAAAGGATGGTGGAAAGATTTATAGGGCAAATCCTTACACATCACGGAAGATGTCCCCTTGACTTTGATGACTGTATGTGTTGCAGACTGCTGTGCGCTGCTGATAAGCTGTATGTACGTCACTAATCACACACTTCCCTTTAGCAGATAGCATTCACCAGACCACACATTCAAATTTCATGACCGCACAATCTCACATCTGTGATTAACATGTGCACAGCTTGAAGAAGAATCCATGACATAGAGGCGTGTTTGGTGCAGGTTCAGTCATGCTTATATTGGTATATATATTGGGACATATCGAATCATGAGGCATTGCATATTTACTGTACCACATTGTAGTTAGTTGCTGATATTCAGCTTTGGTTAGTGATCGAGGATGCGTAATTGTGCCAGTCACTGGCTAGCCAGCTTAACCTCTGTGGCTTATTTAATGTAGCTCATTACTCTAACTATTACTCACTGATTTAAATAAAGCCCTGTCAGCCCTTCAATTCCCCAAGGTGGGATTTCCATGTAATTGCACATGAAGAACAGGGTGATCTCTTCTCTTTAAAGAAGAATTTTTCAAAAACACGTTTGTTTTGCTTCATTTCTAATTTTCATTTTAATAACCTTTGTTACCATGAAGGGTTACCTTATAATGAATATTCTGCCATCATTTACGCTGATCACCTATGTGTTATTTCGAATTCTGTGAATGTTTTTTTTTTTAAAGAAGGTCTAGTGGTCTAGTAAAGTGCTCTTTTCGTATTTGTTGTTTTCACCGAAAGTTCTGACAATTTCATTCAACTTTACATGGTCAAAAAAATGTAAAATATAAAACATTTATGGATGAATCCTTCACAGTAAGTTCTATAATATGCATTTACAGAATGGATAGGGTAAATTTTCATTCCATGATGACTTTAAGACAACTAAAAAACTAGACTAAGCAGGAATGAATTCATGGAGGAGTTATTTTAATGCTTTCTTTGTGCTGACTCCAACTAAAAACAAAGCATATCTTGGGAGAAGACAGACTATGACGTATCTTCTCCTATTTTAATCACTGCTTTGTGGAGCCAAAGTTTTAGCGTTCACACAATTCACTTAAATTCACATTCAACTCCAGTGAAGGCCTAAAGATCATTTTCTAGCCTATAAAGATTGAAACTGTGATTACAATGCCCCTCACACTTCATTACCTGATACTTTTCTTTTCCTATATTTAAAATCTTTTCAGTCTCGATGTAAAGGAGGTAGTGAAGGATTTTTAAAATGTATTTTGACATGCATCTGAGTAAAATAGATTATCCCCAAAAAATAATGGGACTTGGTTCCATCTAGGGATGCAACGATTATAGATTTTGTTGATACGATTATTGTCTGAGGAATAATCACGGTTTTACGATTATGACGATTATTATGCATTTATTAATTTCACAACATTACTAATGTATAAAATCACATGAACACTCTTTAGATATTAAAGTGTTATTTATTGCTGGCTTTTGAAACAGAAATAACACAGTAACCAACAATACAGCTCAAAATAATAATAAACAAGAGACAAACAAAAGTCCATCTCTCCCATTGGAATTAAAAAAAGGTGACCTCTGCTCTGTAAACATCCATGACAGTATTTCTCTTTTGAAAATAACAAATGGAAATAGATCACACAAGTATTTAATGTTTTCAGTTTGTACATTCTTTACTTTTCTTTTGGACCTGGGGTAGAGAATTTGGAAACATGGTGAAAAAAAATATTGTTGGTTTTTACTTCTGAATAATACTA